GCTCAGACCAAGCCAGATAGATCGGCCCATATTCATTGAGGCGAGTCCCTTTTGTACTTTGCTTATCTGCGGCTTCAAGCAAATTGTCGATGAATTGTCTCTCGTGGATAATAAACAAGGGAATCGGGGAACTCTGAAGAGCAAGGCTGAGAAGCCTAGGAACCAGATTGCCGAGACCTAAGTTGACAGAGACAATTCTAAACGACGGGTCGGACGGCATTGAGCCCAGTATTCTCGTGAATCTTTTCCTTAGAAATGACGAGAATGCCGAGATCACATCCGTCGACGGGCCTGAGGATGTTGCTGAGGGAGATTTAATGTCAGGAAGCATTGAAAACTTGGGGCTAAGAAAGGGTTCAAGGAAGATCAATGTTTCTATTGTGCTGTTCTAAGTGCGAATCTTGTCATCATCATTGGTCCCGTTTCTGATACCGCTGACCTCAATGAGAGGCCCCGTGGATTCTTCGAAATCGAGTCTCTCCTCCAGAAGGGCAATGTATTGGGATTGCAATGATATGAGTATGTTTTGCCTGTGTCGCTCAGTCTGTAGTCTTTGTATCTCGCTTTCTAACTGCACGGAGCTCGTATTCACTCTCGTTACCTCCTCTTCGAGCGATGTCAAAGTCGCCTGTAGGCAATCTGTGATGTGGTAGCCTTGTGAATCTTGTGAATCATGGCTGGCCATGGTTGTATATTCTGAGATTAACGTAGTGAGAATGTAAATTGGAGCGGACGTAATCAAACTTCCTGTTTATATGGTGTCTACGCAGTAGCCTCATGGTACAAAACTTTACTCGGTAGCTTGAACGTGAAGCGTTTACCACGTTATGATAGCATGCTAACGGTACTTGAGTTATTGCTTCAAATGACACAATAGCGAAAGTGCTCCCGCCATTTTTCTGTCACGGCATTTCGACACAGCTGAAATGAAAATATTGTTATGGTTATGAAGCGCTACCACTACATCTACCTATGTTTTGACATGCTGGTCCATGTCGCCAGTTCCGTTGTTCTATCAAGCCTAACGCGGCGCAGCCGCGGGATTCGAGGCTGCTCTGATCTGTTGTGGATAAATATGAGTCGCGGCTGCGCAAAGGAACTTCTCTTGCTTACGCTCTGCTAAAGCCGAACAAAAAGGGGTGGCAACTAAACTATTAATGTTCGCAGGTGGTGATTTTGATGAGAATGTTGATGAGTGTTGTCTTTATTCAGCTGTCAGAAGTTGCTTCTTGTTGTCGCAGAAATCGGAATGGCATCTCCTAAAAAAATTAGCTTGCCTATCCGTTCGTATCGCTTATGCTGTTGTGTAGGGCGCCGACAAGGAAGCAGAGTGCCGCAAGATTCGGTCGTAAACTGGCCACGGTCCCGATCAGCTGCGGAATTGGTGAGCGATATGATATGGGCCAGTAAATATCACGCCTGAGCCACATCCTCATGGTTATCTTTGCTGTCCTATTATGTTGTTAT